AAGTTATTTAATAGATACAGGGTTATTGGGGGTTTTTTCTTCTTAAGTGGCTCTGGTAGTTTGTATCTTTCTAGGAATTTGTCCGTTTTGTCTAAGTTGTGAAATACATCGGCATAAAGTTGCTCATAATATTCCTCGTTATCCTTTAAATATCCCTAGACTCTTACAGTGAGGTCACCTCTCTCATTCTTGATATTGTTCATTTATATCTTATCTTTTTTTCCTGATCAGTCTGGCTAGAGGTTTATCACTTTTATTAATCTTTTCCTAGAACCAGCTATTGGTTTCACTGATTATTTCTACTTAATCTCTTCTCTCTTACTCAACTGTTTTCTACTTCATGAATTTCTACTCTAATGTTTCTTCTGCTTAGTTTGGATTTAATTTGCTCTTCTTTTTCTAGTTTCTTAAGGTAGAAGGTGAGATCATTGATTTCAGACCTTTCTTCTCTTCTAATATAGGTGTTTAGTGCTATAAATACACCCCTTAGCACTGCTTTGGTGGCATCCCATACATTCTGATATGCTGTGTTTCCATTTTCATTCAGCGCAGAATACTTTCTAATTTCCCTTTTGATTTCTTCTTGGACCCATGAAGTATTCAGAAGTGTGTTGTTTAGTTTCCAAATATTTAGAGATTTTACAGAGATCTTTCTGTTTTGATTTTTTCTTTAATGTCATTTCGATCAGAGAACACATTTTGTATGACTTGAATCCTTTCACATTTATTGAGACGTGTTTTACAGCCCGGAATACGATCTACCTTGGTAAATGTTCTGTGTACACATGAAAGGAATATGTATTCTGTTTTAGTTGGATGGAGTGGTCTATAGATGACAATTTAGGTAAGATGGTTCATTGTGTTGCTCAAGTCTTATACCCTTATTAATTTATGATGGGACACTTTTTCCAACCATCCAGAGCTGAAGCCAAGAATGTATTTCCCTATAGTCTCCTGGGATAATTGGTGCAGGGCTTCAGGCCTCGCCTTTCTATGGAATTTCAGCTTTATATGGATCTCAGTTCCAAATCCCCACCTCATGTAGGTCTAGACCTCATCTCCTGTCCCCACGTGCATACTGACACACGAGTTTCAAGCCATTACTTGCTATTCATCTCCCCAGGACTACTGTAATGTCAGGTCACATGTGTATCACTCTAACTTTTAGTTCTTTCTCTGCTTCTGACACGTGGGAATCTTCCTTTTATTTCCTCGTCAAAAGCTTACCTTGCATTAACAAAAACAACACCAAAAAGTGTCATTTTAACATCATTTCTAAGTGTTTATGGTGAAAGAGTTCCCACAGTAGTCTAGTTATCAATTTTTCACAATCCCTTTGTGGACAGAATGGAAATATGTGAGCTATATTTAATACAGTTGGCTATACTGGTTGGCCACAGGATACCCAAAGAATAATGCCAATGGACAGTGCTTTCTAAGGGTACGCTAATCATCTATGCATCTATAAGGTCAGTCATTTTTAACACAGACTTAGGTAAAGGCATATTTCATGCTGATACATTTAAGGGAAACACAAAACTATGTGAGAGTCAGTATATATAATAACAATTAGGATTTCAAAATATCTTATTGAAAACGGGCTAAATAAAATGAAATGATGAATAACCGAAAGCGAACATCAGCATTTTGTTAAAAACAAAACTATATATATATGTATACACACACACACACACACACACACACACCCCAAAAAGATCTGGTCAATGTTCAACCATTTCAGAGGTAGCATATGATCAAGAACCAATGGTATTGAAGGAAGATGTCCAAGCTGCACTGAAGGCATTAGCAAAAACAAGGCTCCAGGAATTGACGGAATACCAACTGAGATGTTTCACCAACTGGATGCAGCGCTGAAGCATTCACTTGTCTATGCCAAGAAATCTGGAAGACAGCTACCTGGCCAACCAATTTGAAGAGATCCATATGTGTGCCCGCTCCAAAGACAGGTGATCCAATAGAATGCAGAAATTATCTAACAATATCAAATGCAAATAAAACTGTGCTGAAGATGACTCAAAAATTTTTGCAGCAGTACATCGACAGGAAATTGCCAGAAATTCAAGCTGGATTCAGAAGAGGAGGTGGAACAAGCGATATAATTTCTGATGTCAGATGGATCTTGGCTAAAAGCAGAGAATACCAGAAAGATATTTACCTATGTTTTATTGACTATGCAAAAGCATTCGACTGTATGGATCACAACAAATTACGGATAACATTGCAAAGAACGAGAATTCCAAAACACTTAATTGTGCTCATGCATGTGAGTACATAAACCTGTACATAGACCAAGAGGTAGTTGTTCAAACAGAACAAGGAGATACTGTGGGGTTTAAAATCAGGAAAGGTGTGTGTCAGTATTGTATCCTTTCACCATACTTATTCAATCTGTATACTGAGCAAATAATCCAAGAAGCTGGACTATATGAAAAAGAACACAGCATTAGATTGGAAGAACACTCATTAACAACCTGCAATATACAGATGACACAACCTTGCTCACTGAAAGTGAAGAGAACTTGAAGCACTTATTGATGAAGATCAAAGACTACAGCCTTCAGCATGCCTTATTTTAAGAAACTGCTACAGCCACCCCAACGTTCAGCAACCACCACCCTGATCAGTCAGCAGCCATCAACATCGAGGCAAGACCCTCCACCAGCAAAAAGATGAAGGCTCAGATGATGGTATTTTTTTTTAAGTATTTTTTAATTAAAGTATGTACATTGTTTTTTTAGACATAATGCTACTGCACACTTACCAGACTGTGATATAGGGTAAACATAACTTTTATATGCACTGAGAAACCAAAATATTCGTGTTACTCGCTTTATGTGATACATGCTTTATTGCAGTGGTCTGGAACTGAACCTACAATATCTCCAAGATATGCCTGTGTATATGAAACAGCCTCAAAAGTACAGGAGATATAGCCTAATAATAACTCAAGTGAGAAACTGTTGCATTTGAGTTGACTACTTTCTGTGAGCCAACAGTATAAAGTGGCTGCCAGAAAATTCACCTTTAAGATGAACAGCACATAGGAAAAGAAATATGATTGTCTTATTATAAATGTGTAAGATTACATGTATATAATGGTGTCTTGGTAGCAAAGTGGTTAAGAGCTCAGGCTTCTAACCAAAAGGTCGGCGATTCAAATCCACCAGCCGCTCCTTGGAAACCCTATGGAGTAGTTCTACTCTGTCCTACAGGGTTGCTATGCATTGGAATCTACTCGACGGCACACAGCAACAACAACATGTATATATTAGCTATCTGTTGCTGCATAACAAGTTACTCCAAAGCTTAAAGGCTTTCGACAACAAACATTTATTATCTCACAAACTCTGTGGGTCAGATATCTTGGTGCAGCTTAGCAAGGAGTGACTGCCTCAAGGTTTCCACAAAGCTACAATCATGGTGGGTGTTAGGAGGGGCTGTGGTCTCATCTAAAGGCTCAATAGAAGAAGGATCTCTTTCCAAGCACACTCATGTGGTTGCTGACTGGGCTCAGTTCCTCAAGGGCTGTTAGACTGAGGGCCTCAGTTCCTTGTTGGCTCCTGACTGGTGGCCTTCCTCAGTTTACACCATACAGGCCTCTCCACAGGGCAACTCACAACATGGCAGCTGGCTTCCAGCAGAGAAAACAAGCAAGAGAGGACGAGCAAGACAGAATCCATAGGCTCTTCGTAGTCTAATTTCAGAAGTGATATTCATCATTGTTGCCATATTCTAGGGCCTGCCCACACTCAAGGAGAGGGGCCTACACAAAAGCAGGATTATCAGGAGGTGGAGATCATTAGGAGCCATCTTAGAAGGTGACTACCACAACGTGCTCTAAAGGTACAACATGATACCCTAAGATCTGTACACAAGACAATTAAAAAACATTTTTCCAAATCATGTGAATTGCAGGCAAAAATGTCTTGGTTAGAAGGCGGCGGTGGGGGGGGCAGACTGAAGGAGGGGAAAGGGATGGGGTTAAGAAATTTCATGCCTTTTTAAAAATAACTGAAAGGCTGTTACGTGTCAGAGAGACTGTACTTAGTCTATGTAGCACCAACAGACTGAGCAAAGACTATCGGGAAACATTCTAGCACTTATCACATGACATTTTAGCCACTTATTTACCTGTTTAACCTATTTAACTGCTCACTGGCAGAGATAACACATGCCTTGTTCACCATTCTAATCATCAGCTACTGGAACACAATAGGTACTCAATAAATATTTGATGAGTAATGTATGAAGAAAAAAACCTGAAGAATAAAGCTATAGGGAAATTAATTTTGGCTTAAAATCTGAAAAAAAGGAAAAATTTCTCAATGCTTTGAATTTTACAAAATCAGAATGGGTTGTTATGTCTTTGGATAAAGAAGAGACTGGATAATCACTCAAGAGATCTGAATGAGATGACCTCTAAGTGTTCCGAAGAGGTCCATGTCTAATGTACTAATTTTATATCATTGTTGGTCTGGATATAGAAATTCCTTCCAAAACTTGCTCCTGACCTATATACTATGAAAATATCCTATCATATACTACCAGTGTTGAAGAAACAATAAAAACTTAATTTTTTCTCTTACACAACATGAATACTCTCATCATTTTAAAACATTTAACCAAATATGAAATGAGCCCCATGTAAAGCAGTGTATTCCTAACACTGCCCCGACTCCACGCTTGCCACACTGTTTGGAGGCAGTGTGGTGTGGTAAGAAACAAAGGCTGTGTGTTTTGGCGTTGTACTGACCTGTGTCTGGATCTGCACTTTAATGCTGGAGGAGCACAGACAAATCACCCAAACTCTATGGGCCTCAACTTCTTACTTAAAAAACTGAGGATAACATTCACCTCAAAGGGTTGCTCTGTTTTGTTCCCCCTGACTATAGCAAACCAAGTACTCTCTTGTGACAGTGGAAGACATCAAGAAATATTTTGCAGACTAGGTAAGCGAAAACCCTATTGTCATTCCCTACCTTGGTAGTTTTTCACAGGAGTCATCTTGTTGTAATCTTCTGACAAAATAAACTCCTGCAAAAGAAACGAAAAGCATTAAGCAAAAAAGAAATTCTATTTTTTTTTAACTATGTATTTTGTCTGGAAGAAAAACAACAACAACAAATGAGGAAACCTAACCAAGAGTAATTTTCAGAGGTGGCAACTATTCCCCTGAATCTTTAAAACTCTCTGATTGAAATGAATGAATATGCAAGCGTCACTTATGATGGCCTCCTCCCATAAGCACTGAACTCTTTAAAATCATTGTGGAGATAACTGTAAGAGGAGTTATATGCATAAAATTACTCTGGTACACTAAGGATCATAAATCAGTTCAAAATCAATCCATCTGCAATTCTATCCATTTCGCTGATATCACAGGCTCTACCAAAAACAAAAAGTTGAGGATGAATAGCTGGAAGGTAATGAAGAGACCCCGAGGATCCTTGCTTACAGCCTGCTTTGTGATGGAGTCTGGAGAGAAGGCAATGAGAGTTCTCGGTGAAGTATTATAACACTGAAGTCCTTGGGTGGTGCAAATGGCTAACTACTGGGCTGCTAACTGAAAGGCTGGTAGTTTGAGTCTACCCAGAGGCACCTTGGTATGGAGCACGGTTCCACACTGACACACATGGGGCTGCCATGAGTGGATTCTATGACAACTGATTTTTGTTTTGTTTTGTTTTTTAGGTGAAAGTTTATAGCCCAAAATAGTTTTTCATTAAAAAATTTATACATAAATTGTTTTGTGACATTGATTGCAAACCCAGCAATGTGTTAGCACTCTCCACCTTAGCTTTCCACCCTGGGTTCTCCATGTCCATTCATCCAGTCTTCCTGTCCCTTCCTGCCTTCACATCTTTGCTTTTGGGTAGGTGTTGCCCATTTGATCTCCTATACCTGATTGAACTAAGAAGCACATTCCTCGTGTGTGTTATTGTTTGTTTTATAGGCCCGTCTAATCTTTCACTGAAAGGTGGACTTCAGGAGTGGCTTCAATTCTGAGTTAGCAGAGTGTCTCGGGGGGCCATGGTCTCAGGATCCTTCAGTCTCTGTCAGACCACTAAGTCTGGTCTTTTTTGTGTGTGAATTTGCATTTTGTTCTACATTTTTTTCCAGCTCTGTCCAGGACCCTCTATTGTGGTCCCTGTCAGAGCAGTCAGTGGTGGTAGCCGGGCACCAACTAGTTGTGCTGGACTCAGGCTGGTGGAGGCTGTGGTATTTGTGGTCCATTAGTCTTCTGGACTAATCTGTCCCTTGTGTCTTTGGTTTTCTTCATTCTCCTTTGCTCTAGACAGTGTGGGACCAGTAGACGTATCTTAGATGGCCACTTATAAGCTTTTAAGACCCCAGATGCTACTCACCAAAGAAGGATGTAGAACATTTTCTTTATAAACTATATTATGCCAATTGAGCTAGATGTCCCCTGAGACCATGGTCCCCAGCCCTCAGCCCAGTAATTCGGTCCCTTAGGGAGTTTCAATGTATCTATGAAGTTTCCATGAGCCTGCCTTGGTCAAGCTGTGCTGACTTCCCCAGTATTGTGTATTGTCTTATCATTCACCAAAGTTACCACTTTACGTTCAGATTTTCTATCTCAGCGTATGTTTAGGTAGGTAGTATGTTTCTAGAAATCTTCCCATTTCCTCTAGGTTCTCAAATTTGTTGGAGTATAATTTTTCATAGCATTCTGTTGATGCTTTTCATTTCAGTTGGGTCTGTTGTAATGTCCCCCACCTAATTTCTTATTTGGGTTATTTGCTTCCTCTCCTGTTTTTGTTTTGTCAGTTTGGCCAGTGGTTTGTCAATTTTATTGATCTTTTCAAAGAACCAATTTTGGTCATGTTGATTCTTTCCATTGTTTTCCTGTTCTCTATCTCATTTATTTCTGTTCTGATCTTTATTATTTTTTCTTCTGGTGGCTGTGGGCTTCTTTTGCTGTTCTCTATTTGTTCGAGTTGTAGGGCTGACACTTTGATTTTTGGCCCGTATTTCTTTTTTGATATGTGCATTTATTGCTCTAAACTGACCTCTGAGCACTGTCTTTGCTGTGTCCCAAAGGTTTTGGTATGATGTGTATTTATTCACATTTGATTCTAGGAATTTTTTAATTCTCTCTTTGATTTCTTCTATTACCCAGTAGAGATAACAGCAAGGTGTTACTCAGTTTCCGTGTTTTTTATTTTTTTTTTTGCTTGCTCTTCCTGTTATTGATTTTTACTTTTATGTCACTGTGATCAGAGAGAATGCTTTGTATTATTTTGATGTTCTGGATTTTATTGAGGGTTGCTTTGTGGTCTAAAATGTGGTCTATTCTGGAGAATGTTCCATTTGCATTGGAAAAGAATGTATACTTTGCTGTTGTTGGGTGGAGGGTTCTATATATGCCTATGAGGTCAAGTTGGCTGATTTTGGCCTTTAGATCTTCTGTATCTTTGCTGAATTTCTTTCTAGATGTTTTGTGCTTTGCTGACAGTGGTGTGTTTAAGTCTCCTATTATTATTGTGGAACTGTCTATTCTCTTCTCAGTGCTGTTAGACTTTATGTATTTTGGAGCCCTGTTGTTGAGTGCATAGATATTTATTAATGTTATGTCTTCTTGGTGGACTGTCCCTTTAATCATTATATAATGTCCATCCTTGTCCTGGAGTTTGTGATGGATTTTGCCTTAAAGCCTATTTTATCTGAGATTAATATTGCCATTCCTGCCCTTTTTGGTTACCATTTGACATATTTTTTTCCATCCTTTGATTTGTAATATATTTATGTCCTTGTGTCTAAGGTGTGCCTCTTGTAGACAGCATACTGATGGGTTGTGCTTTTTTATCCATTCTGCCTCTCTCTGTCTCTGTACAGGTGCATTTAAGCCATTTACATTCAGTGCGATTATCGACAGATATGAGTTTATTGCTGTCATAATGTGCTTTTTAAAAAATTGTTTTGTTGTGCTGACGTTTTCTTTGTTCTTACTTTCTTGTGCTGAGTTCCTTTTGTTTGTGGATATTGTTTTCTTTCATTATTATAGATTTTGTGTTTACTGAGACTTTATGTTTTTCTTCTTTTTTATTCTGATGGGTAGGTTTGTTAACTTTGTGTTTACCCTTATCTTTGAAATTTACCCTTCCTAAGTTTGAACGAGTCTTTCATTACTTGATATTGCCTTGATTTCCTCTCCATTTGAAAGTTTTATACCTACACCATTTATTATTTTATTGTTTTGACATTGTCATCGTTTACTGATTGATGTCTCTGTTTCACTGTTCTAAGTCTTTCAGCTTTTGTTTTATTATTGAGAGTTCTTTACCTAGGTTGGCATCTGGCTGATGCTGTCCTGTATCCTAGACTCCGATTGATGTCGGTTCATTAACCAAAGGACTCCCTTTAATATTTCTTGTAAGTTTAGTTTAGTTTTTATGCATTCCCTTAATTTCTGTGTATCTGGAAATATCCTAATTTCACCATCCTATTTGAAAGAGGGTTTTGCAGGGTATGTTATTCTTGGTTGGCAGTTGTTTTCTTTGAAGATTTTATATATATCATCTCATTGCTTTCTTGCCTGCATAGTTTCTGTCGAGTAATCAGAGCTTAGTCATATTGTTTGCCCTTTGTAAGTTACTCTTTTTCTTGAGCTGCTCTCAAGATTCTTCCTTTTTTCTGTGCTTTTGGCACGTGTGATTATGATATGCCTTGGTGACTTTCTTTTGGGATCTATCCTCAGGTTCGTTTAGACTCTTGGATGGTCAGCTTTTCATCTTTCATGATATTTGGGAAGTTTTCTGCCTACAAATCTTCAACAATCTTCTCCATGTTTTCCACTTTCTCCCTGTTCTGGAACTCTGATCATGTGCAAATTTTTGCTCTTGTGTCCCACATAGTTCTTAGGTTTTCTTCATTCTTTCATCTGATTTTTCCTCAAAGTGGCATCCAAGGATTTGTCTTCAATTTTGCTTATTGTGTCTTCCATTGTCTCAAATTTGCTCCTAAAACCTTCTGTTGAATTGTTCATCTCTGAAATTTTGTTGTTTATCTTTTGGGTTTCTAATTGCTGTTTCTGTGTGATATCTAATTGTTTATCTATTTTGACATTTTGATCTTGTACTGTTTTCCTGAATTCTTCTATTGCTTTTTCTGTGTTTTCCTTGATTTTGGCTATGTTTTCATTGAGTTTGTCTGTGTTTTCCATGATTTTATCTATTTTTTCCTTGGTTATATCTGTGTTTTCCCTTATCTCTTTCCTAATCTCTTGGAGAGCACTAAGTATTAGTCTTTTGAATTCCATATTAGGTAGTTCCACTGCCTTTTCTTCTACCAGAAGTTCATATTATTCTTTATTTTAGCCACTTGCTGGAGCCATCTTGTCCTGCTTTTTTATGTTTTGATATTGTTTGCTGTCTCCAAAACATTAAGATATTAGTTTTTGTTTTTTAATTTGTTTCATCCTGCTTCTTTGTTTTGTTTTGGTATCAGGGCAGGTGGGCCAGGCATGTTTTGTAGCTTGCTCGTCTTTGGGCATGATGGCTCTCATAACTTTGTCCAGGTCGGTAGGGCAGCAGCAGGCAGGGCAAGCTCACTTCATTGTACACTGGTTTGGTGAGGTAGTTGAGGGCAGACTGGGCGGGCGCTGTCTGCTACCTGACGTTGGGAACGTTCACAGCCCCTCACCAGATAGGCGGGGATATTGGATGGGGAGTGATTAGGGGTCACTTTCCACAGTTCAGCAGCTGGTCGAGTGGCAGGAGGGCAGGGGCAGTGTGGGCCAATGGAGCAGTGGGCCTGAGTGTCATGGAAACTCTAGCTGTGGTGACACGGTGAAGGATGGTGCGAAGGGGGGCTGGTGTACAGGCCTAGATGGCGGAAGAAGGAAACAAGAAGGAAAAAACAGGTAGCAGGTGGGTGGGGGTAGGGTGGATCTGGGGGCCAGTGAGAAGGGTGGGGAGGTGGTGTATGGGGCTAAGTGCAAGGTAGAAAGTGGCAGGCCGGTGGCTCTATAGCTGTGGCGGTGTGTCCTGGCCCAGCAGAAAGGATGGGAGGTG